GAGAGAGAGAGAGAGAGAATGCATAAACAGTTCACTTCTATGGCTCACTGCTTGAATTTAAACCAGTCATTTTTAAGAGCAGAAAGTCTTAAAAGAAATTGCCATGTTGTCCTCACAATGTCCTCTGTTAAAGCTTCACTGTTAGGAAGAGAAGCCATTGGAGCCATTAAACACAGTTGGTGTATTTGTTTACATTTGATGTTGCTCACTGAAAAATCATTGTGAAATGCGTTGAAAGCATTTCCTTCCACATAAAACATTTACAAAGCCGATATGTTTAATATTTTGAATCCTGCATTGTTTACATCCAAATTTACTAGCTTGTAGTCCCATTGTTACTTGGCTTCAGCTCATTGCTGCTCTTCACTGTGCCTGACCGCTGCCAACTATCCATCAGCAGAATAGTGTGAAATTTCAACAGGAATGTGTATCCCATGGTCACGCACTTGGATGCATACACATGCACAATACAAAAAAAATGTGTAAAAAAAAAAAAATTGCTCCATAGCTCTACTGGTTGTCAAAAAACTCCATGGGATACCTTTTAACAGTTCCTCGCAGTTTGCAGATTTATGGGTTGGTGGTCCATTGCATCAGCATAATGTGCCAGAAAATGTCGAGACAGATGGGAAAAGTAGCCAGCCAAGAGACGTAGCTAGCAACAAGACCAACTTTCTTCCACTTTCAGGAGACGATACAGGAAAACAGTGTTGAAGAGAAAGGTAGACTAAAACACGAGAAACAGCATCAGTCAGGCCGACTGACAACAATCCAGCCTGCTCCTGACAGCTTGTCAAATCAAACAGCTGCAGTCTGTCTCTGCTTAATATAAAAAACTGACATGAGAAACAGGAGGTGCTGAGTGAGAATGTGTGTAGTCCATTGTGCCACTTCAAAGCAGTGTCCTATTATAACATGATGTCATCCAGTAATTAACAAATAGGTATGAAAGTACTTTATCTTGAATATATATAGAATATTTCTAATGTTGACTTCTTTCACAGAACACGGAGTGATAAGAAAAAGAACATCTTGTCACCATCTGTTAAACCTGGTTAAACTAAACACAAAGACTAGAATCACTCAACATCACATTCATCACATTGTTCAGTCAGTAGCCTCTTTAAGATCTTTCACAGTACATCTAAAAGTTGTGACAGAGCAGTCAGTATCCAGATATTTATTCCTCTGTAAATAACATTGTTGTTGTTTGCATGTAGTTAATATTTACTCTTATTAGCACCTATTAAACGTGTGTGTGGCTTCTCCCCAGCAGAGTTCCCCACACCAAAGACGGAGCTGGTTCAGAAGTTCCAGGTGCTTTACCTTGGGATGCTGCCTGTGGCCAGACCACTAGGTCAGTCTGACACACCAGCACACTACTCCTGCACACTGTAATGAGATTTAAAGTACATGGCTTGTGTTATTGTTGATAGTCTAATTTCAGGTATTTCTTTTCTGCTCCAGGCATGGACATACTGAATGGAGCTATAGAGAGTTTAATCAGTTCTTCCAACAGAGAGGACTGGACTCCGGTAGCCCTGAATGTGGCAGATGCTACTGTCACCATCAGCAAAGACAAGGTCAGACACACATCTGCCATTTCCAAACTACTTCTGCTTTCTCATTCTTCTTTTGTTTGGAAAAATAAAATATGATGACAACCAGTGTTTTGCAGCCTTGCAGCAGCTGGTTCCTCCCTCTTCTGTCTGTTGCCTCTCTCTTTCTCTGTATCCTCATCCACTCTTGTAGGACTTCATAAATACGGGGACCATTGAATTCAATGGGTTCATTCACATTGTCAGAATCAGCTAAATGTTCAGTCATGACATTGAAAATGTTTTTCATAACACTATGCTTTCTGTACTCAACCACAACAAATTCTTCCTGGCTAACATTACTTCATGTTGTAGCCTGTTTTGTGGCTGCAGGCTGCAGCACTCTCGCTCAATAGTGGACCAAATTATAAAATTGTTGTCCCCATTGACACAAACACACGGATCCATGTTGAAATATAGCTTTGAAGTTACCCTTTAAAGCCCAGCTGCTCCAGTGGACCTGTTTATTATGAGGCTGGGGTTGCTCCCCTCTATGAACAGAGTGCAGAAATGTTGTTGGATAATTGAATTGCTTCAGTACTGTGTTTTGTGATGTCTTTTCTTCTAGTTAAATCCTATAAATTATTTTTACATTACGTTTTTCATGTTCTTTTGATTAATCTAAAAAAACAACAACACATGTTTCTGACCAGGACGAAGAAGAAGTGCTGGTGGAGTGTCGGGTTCGCTTCCTGTCATTCATGGGTGTTGGCCGTGACGTGCACACGTTTGCCTTTGTCATGGACGCTGGCGGCCATCGTTTTGACTGTCACGTCTTCTGGTGTGAGCCCAACGCTGGAAATGTGTCGGAGGCTGTACAGGCAGCTTGTATGGTGAGTTACTGAGCAACAGCACAGAGCTGACGACACAACAACTCTGACTAGATTAAGACTGGATTAGTTAAGAAATAAAGGAATCTCTGGAGTTGTTAGTTACCGATATATTGGCCTAACCATGAATGCTAACTCGAGTTGGTGTTTGTATAAAGTGATCACTTTGTTCTCTAGAGGGTAGGAGGATTAGAAAGTACTTAAAATAGGTTTAAAACACCTTTTTCTTTGGCCAAACTTGCTAAAAATGTTTCATTTAGGATTTGTTCGCACACAGACGTCAGAAAATCATCAGAACATTCAGGCACAAGACAGCAAACAAATTACAATATAGATAACGTTATTAAAACCAGCTGATCTTAAAGGGTTCCTTCATTCCTAATTCAATTCAAGCTATCAAATGCAGAATTCTTACATTTTGAAGGTCATCATCACTTAACGCACAGAGAGGCACAGAAATATAGAGCCTTTTCTTTCTGAAACTGAATGTCTTTGCCTATAGTTTAGTTTCAGTCTTGACAGATGGGGTTTTACTGTCCCACCCATATGCTCTATTCAGGTCGTAATGGGGCCCTCTGTCAAAGCATTGTTGGTGTAAAACATGCATTCAAATGAAGTGAAGCCACCTAAAGTGAAAATATAGTTTGTGTTCAGCATCAGTTGTCTCTGAAAGGGGACGTCCTTGCAAGCCATCTAGTATAGATTTTCTGTTTCAAGTGTAGTGTTTTAGATTGTATTACACATTGTTTACTGCTGTGCAGGAAGTGTTTTCTAAGAGGACACTGAATTAGTAACCAGTAAACCCATAATACCTTTTATAATGTTTTTATTTTATCATTATAATGTCGATAATCACAACCCAGAATGCCCTCTGTTGTGTTTCTGCTATAATGCAGTCCATTAGTGGAGGTTACTCATCTTCCTCTGCCCTCTCTGCTGTGTGTGAGTCACAAGATTAGTTGACTGCTGGCTGGGCTATTGATCACACATCAGAACTTTGGATATATGGACACACACACGCACACGCACACGCACACACACACACACACACACGCACACACGCAGAAACTGATTCACAGTGACAAGAATCATCAGTCATTACTATTGATCACAGCTGCCTGCACCAGTCCTGCTTTCCCTTCTCTCTCTAACACACACACACACACACACGGACAGACACCTCCACAGTCGTACACTCAGCAGCTGTAACTCTGTATTATTTATAATATGTCTCTCTGTCTTTGTTGCCTCCTCTCTCTCTTTTAGCTGCGGTATCAGAAGTGTCTGGTGGCTCGACCCCCTCCCAGAAGCCTGTGGCTCGTCGCCCCCTGGTGACTCGGTGTCCCGCCGGGCTCGACCAGCGTGAAGAGAGGTGTCTTGTCTCTCATCGACACCCTCAAACAGAAGAGACCCGTCACTGAGTTGCCACAGTAACCACGGTTAAGCGCTACCCAGCTCCCTGCCACAGCCCCCAGTCACCATGGTAACTAGTCGCATCGCTGCCAAAACCCATCGCCACCACAGACCCCAGTAACCATGGAAACACAGCAAAACCCCAGGGTTTGGGAAACCCTGTCACAGTTCCTTCGCTTTTCTGGAGTAAAATTAAAATTTCACCTCATGAGTTTTATTAGCTCTCGAGCAGCAACTCAAATCTGTTTCCTCAAAATAACTGAGACGAAAAAAGACTCACGTCAAGAAGGAACAACCACAGAGAAACGCCTGGAGTGATCATCGTAAAAGGTGATAGTGTACATAGAAGTAACTCTCATCCCCCTCAGCACAGAGAAGGAGTGAGGAGAAGAGAGCCAATATTGAAGAAGTAGGAAGTGCTCCTTCAAAGCACAGCACGTGTGATGAACGAGTTCAAGGCTGCCCAAACTGCTTATCTCTCCATGCTCTAATTGTATTTGTGTCTGTGCCTGTGCTGCCAGCATGACCTTGTACACCTGGCCACACCCCCTCGTCATTCATCTGGTTGTCCTGTTAGTCTGTAGTGCCCCCCCCCGTCCCTCTTTCTCATTATCCTCAGTAGACTGTAAGGTGAAGTAAATGGATGGAAGGAATCATGAAAGCCATCGTGTCTGATTTTCAAATCAGGATGTAATGAATGAAAGAAGGAAGCTGCTACAGACTAAAGAGATTTGGCCGTCGGTCTAACCCGTTTAACTGATCCTGCATGAACTTTTTATATAAAAGTGAACCATTCTAGACGATATCAATACACTGCTGCTGCTTTCAGAGACTGAAGGGGTGAGAAATCCGAAGCCATGTTGTTTTTTTTTCTTATTATTATTTCTTTCTTTCTTTCTTTCTCATCAACTGTGCAAGAATCAGCCTGGAGGGTCTAAACGAGTGGTGACCTTTCACCCGAAACATCCTTCATATACTTCCTGTTTACTTCTCTAGTCTTTTGTTATCCCTTTGGAAAATGACAGATGATAGCCATAACGGAGGAGGAGAAGCAGGGACGGACAGAGTGTTAACCCTCTCTCCTCTGCTCTCTGGTAAACAGTACTAGACTGCTGCTCCAAACACAGGAGACATCAGCATGCTGCTGCTCTTTGATACACATGCTGGAAGGAATTACGGCAGATCCTTTAAATCCCACCTCAGTATCAGTCCTCAGAGACGTCATGTCCACACAAGACAAGAAGACTGGAGAAGCTGTACCTGGGTATGGTGGCGATGATTTTGCCCACAGCTGAGATTTGAACTGTGAGGAGGTCAGGAAGAGAGAGACAGGTTTCACCTCCGGCCTCGGCTGTTTTTCCAGAGGAAAGCCAACATACATGTCAAATTAACAGGACCTGGGCTGCTATCTGTCTGTCTCCAGGGTTCTGTTCACTTGAATGCGCCTTCTCTGTTTTGTCATCGCCTCCTTCCTTGTACGACTTGTTTTCATTAGTGCCACAAGATCACTTTTGTTTTTCTTCTTTTGGTCTTTTTTTTTTAGTTTTTCCTCACATAAATCTCAATTCAACACTGCTAGCTCCTTATTGTCACGTATCTGACAAGCTTGGATGTAGGGTAATAACTAATTAAGTCCTTTATTGCAACTAAAACCCACCAACACATCCCCCCCTACCCTCACAGTTCTGTTGGATGTGGGGCACCAGATTAATACTGAACCTCTCTAATTGATCGTTAGCTATACCTCTCCCCTGCACAGCGATTGTCTAATCACAGTTTAGGAACTTTATGTAGGCATGGTCACCCTGTGGAGCTTTTGGATTGCCATAAGCAATAACACAAGCAAAAGTGTAGGGAATTAATTAAACTATGTGTTTTTCTCCTCTAACATCAGCTGCTATTGTGGCAAATCAGGCAAACTAGCTTAACTATATTATAAGGTTTGCAGGTTACATTAAGAGTGTTTCTCCCTGTAAGGTGGTCCCTGGTGCTCACATATGAGAATTAAGGATAATGTTAGCAGTTCTGTCTCTGTTCTTTATTGAATTTGGGGCAGTTTACACTCCAGCAACCTCAGCTAAATTGGTTCATCCTCTTCCTAAAAGCCTAAAAATAAAGCATAAATATAACTTATGTCTTGGTTGTCCAAGTCTACCAAGGCAGCCAAACAGGGTTATGTTAGAATGAAATTACAGCCTGATACAATATTTCTTTATTCTACATACTTACTAATACCAGGACAAAGTAGCTCTACTCTGCAATACAAAAACACACTTTCTTTATGTATATGTATTCTACATGGATTATGAATTGGTGAACTTTTTGCTGGAACATCTAGCTTTAGCCTCAGTCTTTTAAGATGATATTTTGTATGTAGTCATCAACTGCACATCCCGTTTTACAAGTATCTATTTTGAAAATGGACATTAAAAAGTCTGCCAGAGACAGAAAACAACTCCTGGAACAATCGTTCGTTAATTACCTAGCCAGCAGCAGCTGAAAAAACCTGCTTGTGAAAGTTGTTATTTCATCGCCACAATTGCCAGTTAGAAAGAGAAGCTGCTTTTGTTTACTTCTGCATGAAATCAAAGAAGTTTCTGTTGTGAATCTGCCAATCTGTTATTGTAAACTGCATTTATGGCATTAACTATGACAGTAACTAAAGGGGGCGGGGCTTAACGAACACTCAAACTGTTAAAAACCGTTAGTCGGTGCATCCCGCTTATCGTCTTCATGTCTTGCGTTTGAACTCCAGTTAACATGCACAGGTCGAAGGAACTAGGAGCGTAATTGAGATTGTGATGAGAAAATTCAGCCACATCACCTTCTTTTGTCACGAGGATGTTGAAATGTGAATGAGATGACAAAATATGTGTGTACATAATATCCATTCAATGTAACGTTTGGCATTAATCGTTGTTATAAGCTATCTTTTCATTTTGAATGTCTGTAGTTTTCTATTATTTTCTTGTAATGAAATGCCTTTTTTGAGAACTCACCAAATGGCCAAAGTGTAAATTACTGATATACATTGTTGTAGATAAGAAAAATACGAGAGCAAATAATGAAAAAGAGAGGAGAGGTGATTGGAAATTTTCACAGTTGTCAATTAAGTTGATGCTGAATTTAACTGAGCAATTATCTATGCATTCTTTTGATCTCGAGAAATGGAAAGTCGTAAAAAGCCTTGCATGCCCTTGGATGGTTGAAAGAACGACTGTATGTACTGAACAGAAATATTTTTTATTTTATTTATTCTATTTTATAAAGGTATATACTGATTTTATTAGTTGGGGCAAGTAAAGTCTCTTGACTCTCGGTGTCATTGTCTCAGTCCCTCGTAAACTCACAAAGGCTACAACGAGCTCCGCTTTGCAGAAACAGGCAGATAAAGGATTATATCTTCACTTTGTACAGTGCACTGAGAGCTGGGAGTCCACTGGTGGCCCGAAACACAGGAGTGAAGAAGAAGAGGAAGAGGAGGAGAAAAAAGATCACGGTGGTAACAGTGGTGGACTCCCAGTGTCTCTGTCAAGCTCACACACATTTCCCACGGATGGATGTGTTGGCTTCCGTTTGCTGCTCACTGATTTGTACACTTTATCAATGTAACCAATTGTGAGAATAAACAGCATTATAAAATAGAACACCTGACTGTTGTGTGTCTGCATTAAAGCTGCAACTAATTTTTACGCTATTGGGGACATTGCAGTTGATCTCACATTCAGTGTTTTTATGCTGGTGACCCTTTATCACAGGGTTCGGTCTGTTCAAGAGTGATTTTTCCTTCTCAGATTGTTTAATTTGACACAGAAAGATGAAAGTATGTAATAAATAAATGTATCCTATCCTATCATCTTGTGTCAAATTTCCAACAGTCTCCAAAGACTAAGATGACATCTGTTCCCTATTTTTTTTTTCTTCTGAATAATGGACTGTACTAAACTTATTAGGGTGGGGAGAGGAGCTTAAAGGCCATCCAAGGCGTGAACCTTCCCAAACTGTGTACCTCAATATCTCAAAGTACTGTAACAGTACTAATAAACTGAGTCATCTTGCTGTTGGGAGCTTAAAGTGCTAATATTTTAAGATATCGTACTCCTGTTTAACCATTAATAAGTCTCTATAAGTCTTACAAGAGAAATATGAAATAAAATATAAATCTGTGATGAAAAAATGTCACTGCTCTCACACTGAATTTAGACGATCCTCCTTTCAGCAAAAAGAAAAAATTACATAACCTTGAAATAATCTTTCTACCCTCCACCCTAATATTTTACATACAGTCCCTAAATGTTAAAAATCTGAAGGGGGTTCAACTTACAATGATGTATAACAGAAAAAGCTGATTTTATTTTTACATTTGAGTTCATATTTGGCAATTTCACTTAAGTTATGACTTGCTCCGATAACTGAGTTATTTAAATAGTTTTTATTCAAGTTTCTTTTGATTGATCAGTTATTAGACTAATCATTTATACCGAAGTGATGCCCTGACTCACGGGATCAAATATGAAAAAATCAGTAAAACAACCATTGTCATGTATTTTTATTTCTCCAATTTAATTGAATTACTTTCATGAGCTGCCATCTTATGACGTAAAAATCAGTTTAATACATTCAGCTGATCATTTAAGTAAAAATACGCTTCTCTAAATATAATCTTAATACAATATTTTTTTTTAATAATTCACATGAGAGTCCTTTATGATCACGCTGACTGTTGTGTCAGAACATGCCAATAATTTAATTTACCACATCAGTGGGCATGATCCCCAGGTCTCTATAATCCAGGCAGAGAGATTGAGGAGGAGGAAGCAGATATTTGGGCGAGCTGAGAGTTGGAGGCCCGGGACGGACGCTGAGAGAGAGAGCTGCCACTCCTGCCGCTTAGAGAGCTGGCGGACGGGAAGGAAATCGGCGGCAGGGCAAAATCTGCAGGCTTCGACGTGCCCTGCATCACCTCCTCCCTCTTCAGACTGACCACCTTTGGCCTGGCCTTAGACCGGCTGTCTGGTTCAGCTGAGCCCTTCAGTGTTTTCTCTGCTCTTTCAGGCCCCGTGTTTTGTCTCTGCACCTGCTTGGAGGCCGCATGGGGAGTAGGTGGAGCAGGACGGGCAGCAAGAAGAGGGCTGAAGGCCATCTCCTGTGATTTAATCGTTGCGTTGTCACTTAGCTTGTGTGCGAGGGCTGTGATCGGAGACAACTTGGTGGGTTTCGCAGAAGATATTAACGTCAGTGTTAGACGAGGTATTCTTCTCGGCTTGCTCTTCGTCAGACGCCTCTTGTGATGCGTTTGGTTGACTTTTCTCTTCACTGGTTTCTTCTTCTGGCTTTTTGAGACCGTGGTAGTCCTGTTGGCTTGCTTTGGTTGTCGTTTGACCTTTCGCTTATGCCCTCTCCTCTTATTTCCCCCCTTTCCCCTCTTATCTTCCTCCTTCTCCTCCTCACTACACTCACCTTTCTTGTCTTCATGATCTGAAGGCGCAACTGGATCTTGTCCATTCACAAACTCCCCTCCTGTCTGTCGGCTTGAGGGAGATGGAGGTTTGCTGCCGGCTGAAGCCACACGATTTTTCTTGCTTTTCCCCTTTTTAACACTTTTTGATTGTTCGGGAATTATTCCACCCAGGAGGCCCTTTGCGGCTGCCCTTGCCAGCACATCCTGGACTGTTTCTACCTTAGTTGGATCTGCCTGAAAAAGCAAGGGCAGTTTAAGATTTGATGTGAAGATACAACACATTAAAACTACAGGCCTCTAGGGTAACATAGCACCGAGGAGATCTATACAACAAAACACGATGCTGTAGAAATGAGCCATAGCCATAAAGTGAACCTGCAAAGGGAGGAAGAGGAGGAGGAGGAGGAGGAGGAGGAGGAGGAGGAGATATCACAGGGGGTTTGATGGCTTTCACATTCCAACAGAGCAGAGTGGGATATAATTTGAAAGGCAACAAGATAGACTGTCACAAGGCCCTTATCTTTTCTCCCCCTATGAGAGAAAACCAGACTTTACAGCCACGCTAGCAGCTCTGCGAGGATGTACTTAGGCACAACAGTGCTTTGAGTTAAATGCTAATGTCAACATGCTGACATCCTGACAATGACAATACATGCTGATGTTTAGCAGGTGTAATGTTTACTATGTCCATAAACTCTGTAGAGCGTGTTAACATGCTAACATTTTCTAATTAGCACTAAACACAAAGTGCAGCTGTGGCGGATGGGAATGGGCTTAGTGTAGCAGATATGTATGCGACAAACTGACACCAGTTGGGTGTTATATGCTGTCAAATGAACACATTTATGTTAAAAAATATTGTGTTAAAAATGAAAATTAACACATTTAATTCACTGATCTGTTATGGTCACATCTTAGACAAAGTGATAGACTCCAATGAGAATTAAAACTGCTGTAATTCTTTCTCTTCCCCCGTCCTCCGCCCTCTGTATCTGCCTCGTCTTGTCTCTAATGAAAGCTGAATGATGGTCAGCACACTCAAAACACTGCAAATGCATCTTTTGTTCACTCTGGAGTGTTTAATCTGCCTTTATGTTGTTTTTCATTTTTCTTGCTTTGACAGCATTATACACTTTGAGTCATTTATCTCTCAATACTTTAATTATGCTGCCAACATGAGACTTTGTAATAAAACGGAGAAGACTCCATTATAGAGGCATGAATGATAGCAGCCTGTCAGATGTGTTTAACAGACGTTTTAGTTTTTTTCAGTGCGTTGTAGACGGAAGGATCTATGAATTGCCATGAAATGATTGTGATGGATCCAACTGATTTTGGTGATCCTCTGACTTTTCCTCTAGCGCCACCATGAGGTTCACATTTGCGGTTTTAGTGAAATATCAAAGCAACTGTTGGATAGATTGCTATGATATTAGCTACAGACATTTATCATCTCTTCTGAATGAATTTCAGTATCTTTGATCATGATCTTTGAACTCTCCCTCTAGCACCACCATCAGTTCAGATTATTTTATTTCTACAGTTATTTGGTTTGTGACCAGCAAAGTCAATGATATTCAGCCAATTTTAAATTGTTAACATGCAACGTTACACCTGCTAAACATGAGCATTGTGTAAATGTTAGCATGTAGCCGTGCTAGCAGTACAGGCAGCCTATCAGATGTGTAAGATTTTTCAGATTTTTAGCTTCCGTCTGTCTGTAAATGATGTCTGTATTCTTGTATCTTCCTTTGATTTTTAAAAGAGAGATTTCAAGGAGACGTCTTCTTGCGTTGCCCCTTCTCTCTGTGTTCTCTCAGTATTATGCCATGTGTCTATTTCAGAGCCCTTTAATTCGTCCTGTAGCACAGTTTGAGTGGTGTGGAGTCATTCATCTGAGCAGCAGTGAACCTCAGAGCTGTCTGTGTAACTAAATCTGCAGCCGCAGCTCTGATGTGATTTGACTCACTGTTAGAGTGAATGTCGATCTAATTAGACACGATGATCATTCGATTTTAAATGACTGCACTGCCACTGGACAGGTGAGCTTCCTCCGTGTACAGTATATGTGCGTGTATTGATATAGACACACTGAGACTGAGAGGCACTGTCCCCTCCCTGCACCATTTTTTCGAGCTGCAGGGGATCAAAGGAGCAGCATCTCATTTCCTTCTGTTGTATTTTTCTTCTTTTTATGAGTGGAGCAAGAGGAAAGAAAGAGGAGGGGGGGCAAATAGACAGAGCAACGAGGTGATGCAACAAGACTGGAGGAGCGAGAGAGGGCTGGAAGAACGATACATAGAATTATCCATTCATCTCTGCTGTAAAGTACTGAAATGTTTCAGTGGCTCAGGCGTATTTCATCTTTGACTTGTCTCTTTTTTTATGGAGTATTGGAATAATGCTGCAGTGTTTCAGGGAGAAATGTGTGTGTGTGTGTGCACAGACAAGCAGAGTCGACCGACCTCCCAGCAGACAGACAGTAAAAGAGTGCAGCCTCAGCACTCCTGGAAGGTCTCGTCACAATGCAATCACACAAAGCACTGCCTCACACACAGACCTACACACACACAGACCTACACACACACTCACACACACATTCTTGAACACAAACACAAACACACACCACACAGGCTCTCTTCCCCCTCCTTCTCCAAACACAACCTTGCCCTCTACATTTCTGTCACTTTTTTCCCTTTCAACCTCCACGTCTCACACATTTTTTTCCTCTTTTCTCTGTCACCTGTCGGGACAGCCGGGCGATGAAGCAGCCGTTGGTGAACTGAGATGGTTCGAGCCTGAAGAACTTGGAGTCTGCCGTGTCTCCTGATTGGGTGTCATCAGGAAAAATCGGACCATTCACCCTGAGAGAGCAGCACAGCAGCAGGTCAAAAGTTGTTAAAAGATGGAGTGTAGCATTTTAACATGAATTTGTCATTGCCACATTAATTCAGAGAAGCATTACTGTAAACAAGCAAGTATTACAATAAATTATATTGACAACCAAATAGATTTTTTTAAAACCCTGCTCTATGTGTCACCTTTAATATTTTGTTTTTGACTGTTTTCAGGCAGGAGGGAGAACTTCTGCAACTTTTGTAACTCATAAATTGATCCACAGTCCTTCAAAAATCTACAAATAAAGAGTTTTTACTGTTTAAGTGGATGTTGGTTCAGCAGGTACTCCATGTATCATTAGACAGATTGTCCGGCTCGGAGCTTGAGGACGAGCAAGTTTATGTGCACCCTGCGCTGCCGGCTGTCCCTGCTGGTTCCTTTATATTACACATCTGGTGTAAGTGCTCTCAACATCACATATGTTAGCAAATGTTGGTTAGCAATTCTCAGCGGACCAAACGCTGTCTAAATATGGAGAAGATGTGCTGATATGACCTTTCACATAAAAATTCTCAAGGAAAGACTTAGATACTGTGCACATTTGTTCAGACAACAATAAACTTTTTAAAAATTGAAGCCCAGCACATTTTTTCCCCCAGAGTTTAAATTTAAAGAAGAATTTAAGTGAAGTTCTGAGATTTTAAAGAGTTAATTTTAACACCAGTCTGAAAAGCTTTCGGTCTGCAGCACCTCTGAGCACTGAGCCAACAGTGGAGTACACTTCTACATCACTGCAGCAAGGTGAGAAGCTGGAGAGCAGCAGAAACAATAATTTGGCACCTGTTAAGTTGCTGTTTCAACCTAAAGGATTGGTAACACTTTATAATAAGGGTACAAATCATATGCTTAGGTATAGCGTACTAATGCATGACTCATGGGGGATGTATCATGAATTCCTGTTGCTCACCATTAATAAATTATTAAATCACTATGACTTTTTGTGATTAGTTAATGTCAATTAGTTAAGCAATGTTAATTCACAGTTACTTCATACATTAATTGATATTCGACCAATTCGATGGATTCCTGTAACATTAAACTTTTTCTTCAGGACCTTGCATTTTCTCACTCTCAGTGATAAAAAACAACAACCTTCATATTTCTGTGAGAATAAACCCAGTGGTATTTTTGCTACAGTTACAACATAGTGGGTGGAACATAAGTTTTTATTTCTCCATTTTGTTGTAAATGTGTCAAAAATACAATTGGGTTTATTCTCATAGAACCTTTTTTGAGATTCTGAGCAAATGGTCCTGAAATAAACATTTATGTAACTGAAATTCTGCTAATTTGGTTGCATGTTAATTAATGTATGAATTAGCATCCCTTGACTGATATATTAATATATTAAGTGTGAAGTGTTACCACAGATTCATACACACAAAACCATTGAGGGCTAATTATTTTTTAGAATAATTTTCTAAAAGTGACATGGAAATATTAAAACTTGTAATACTTTTAAAACTTAAACGTCAGAAGAAACTCTAATTGTATTCGTGCTATAAGATTTTGTGGGTAAGGTTTTAAGGGTTTTATGCATTATGCATAAAAACAACTGAGCAGTTTGCAGTGCTTGGAGGCATAATAATAATAATAATAATGTTTTATTCCCTGTTCCGTTCTTCATCCCCTGATCTTTTATTTAAGAATGAAAAATAAACTTCTCTTTTGTGTTTTAAGTTTTGATGGAGAACCAAACTTGTTAGATACAAGGAAAGCAGTTTGGAGGATTAACGTGTGTGTCTGGTTTTGAGTTACGATTGAGCAGTTCTTCAGATAACAACACAGGCAGCATGTTGCTGGAGTAGATCTGTGTTTTTGTTGTTGAACATACGGTAAACGCAGAGGAAACAGCTGCTGATTGTCTCACTGCACATTGGTAAGTTGATAAAAATATAATACCATTTGGATTTCTTTAAGCGAATGGACGGTATAAAAAGAGTTGTGTGGAGCAGCAGCCGTGAAACAGACTCTGAAAATCTTCTCCACCCCGTTCACCCCGACTGTAGGATTAACTACTGTCCCCACGGCAACCGCAGCTGATCCTTTACTGTCATCAGCCTGGTGACTGTTACCGCTCTCTCTCTCTGTCTCTCTTTCACACACACACACAACACACACCACACCACACACACACACATTGTAGATTCATACTCACACACACACTGTAGATTCATACTCACACTCAAACACACACACTTGTACACACAGTATATGTGGACATAGGAGATACTCTGTCATATTTACACTAGACAGACATTATTTACTCATTCACACACGGTCTTTCTTTTACAGTCTCGCCTGCAGTCTATAATTCTCAGAGATGAAGCTCACTCTCACTATAATTGGGTTCTGCAGTTACATGTGCATGCAGATTTTGCGCGAGCAGCTGTTAAGATGAGC